GAATGAGAGACAGCAGCCATCTGCAGGGTGTGGCCCCACACAGAAGGCACTCAGGCAGGAGCCCAGTGACAAGGTTAGGTGGTAACAGCACAGCTGATGAGGGGCACACAAACCACGATGAGGACTTTGGTTTTCAGTCCCTGGACACTTCTGAGCAACTGACATTATCTATACATAGTAACTGCTGTGTTCAGAGTGGAATCCACAAGGTCAGTTAGAAGGAGAATGAAAATATGACTGAGAGCTAGGGCTGTGACTTGGTGATGGAGAACCAGGTTACCATGTACAATCCTGCTTCTGTCGCTAGCGCCAGCCAAAGGGGAAAGGATTTTGGAAAGAGTCAATTCTCAACATGGTGACAGTTAAGAGCAAAAGACACAACTTAATTCTGAGTGCATCATAAAGACCCAGCCAATGACTGACAGATGTGTATGAATATTTACTGAACTACAGTGACTCAAGTGTCACTCCTTTGTTTTCATGGACCCAGGGCATGTTCTGGAATTATCAGAGAAAGATAACCATGTCACAGGGAAGCTGCATGCTCGTGCCCTCGCTGACTCGTGGGATGGAGTAGTAGGTAGGATACAGGAGTGATTGAACCACAAGTCCCCACTTTTTACCCATGAGTAGTTACCACTGAAAACATAGACAGACATTCTCTGGAAAATAACACACATACTGTGAGTATACAGTATAGAACAACATATCCTGTGTTCACATCGCATATATTGAACCCTATGCTTCAATGGGAAGATAAAATGGTGCAGCTGAGGTGTAAAACAGTATGTGGTTTCTTAGAAAACTGATTATGTAACCATAGGTGATACACACTCAAGAGAAATGAAGCCAGGGACTTGAAGAGGTACCAGGTCACTATTATCCATCAGAGAAAAAAGATACAAGTATTTCAAGTGTTCCTTGATAGCCAATGGATAAACACAATGTTTATATAGTAAAAGGGAGAACCATTCAGTCTTAACATAGGAGGTATTTCGATTCATAACACATATGGGTGACCCCTGATGACATACTACGTGAAACTGGCTAATCTCAAAGGACAACTATTATATATGATTCCACGGATATCAGGTTTCTCGATATACAGATAAGGAAGAGGCTAGGAGAGGGCACAGGACAGTGACGAGTTTTTCTGGGGAGGATGACAAGCTCTGGAGGTATACACCTGTAATCCCAGCACTCTTTGGCTGTGGCAGGAGGACTGTGAGTTTGAGCTCAGCCTGGGCTATATACCGATGAAGTTTTCTAAGAAGCCAGCTGTGGTGAGATGCGCCTAAAATCTGTGCACTTGGGAAGCTGAGGCAGAAGGATAGTCAACCTGGGAACAATTCCATTTTGAAAGCCCAAGTATTACAAAGGCTCATAAGTATGTGGAGATGGTGTGGATGTGGCAGAAGCAATAATGATTTTGTTTTCAACAGTATCTTTTCATGACCAGATTTCAGATGTTTCACTGGATGCTTGTCATAAACCTTGGCTCCTAAATTAGTCAAATCTTAGTATGTACAAACACAGTCCAGATTAGGCAAAGAGAAAAATCTACAAAGTTCATTCACTTTAAGAACTATTAAAACCATACAATTTATACAACAAACAAGACAATCACTACCAGACCAGAGCAGCATAACAAAATCGTGACAGAGGGGAAGAAAACTCAGGCATGATATCTTCTGCTGAGGGGACAGTCCACACAGTCACTGCCACAGCATGTGGGACAATGTTTGCAAGAGAACTTTCCTGAGACTGTTGAGCATAGTGCTAAGATCTGCACCCCACACTCTCACGTGGAGACTCAGAAATCACCCGGGATCTGCACCCCACACTCTCACGTGGAGACTCAGAAATCACCTGGGATCCTCACCCCACACTCTCACGTGGAGACTCAGAAATCACCCGGGATCTGCACCCCACACTCTCACGTGAAGACTCAGAAATCACCTGGGATCCTCACCCCACACTCTCACGTGAAGACTCAAATCACCCGGGATCTGCACCCCCACACTCACGTGGAGATTCAGAAATCATCCAGGATCTGGTGACTTTTGACTCTGCCCCTCCCCTGTCCCTGCATGCCTATGCACCTAACCTGACAGCTGAAAATAAACTGATGTAAACCACATCAGTTATCAAGGGGTTCTATGCTCAGAGACATAAAAAAGAAAGCAGTATAAAATTAAAATTCATTTGGGTGTGTTGGTACAGGCCTTTAATCCCAGTACTTGAGAGGCTGAGGCAGGTGGATCTCTGTGACTTTGTGGCCAGCATAACCTGTGTATCGAGTTCTACACCAGCTAAGGCTACAAAGTAAGATCTCACCTAAAAACAAACAAATGAAAAGGAGTTCAGACAGTTGGCTTCCTTCCTTTGATAAAGGATTGCATCTGAAAGCTTAGCAAGCCTGACTGGCTGGATGGCCATGTGGCATCTAACTGGATTCTATGAGTGTACCTTGTTCAATGTGCCGAACTGTAGAAAGCCACTTCCAGCTCATTAAATACATCTTTCTTGACACATAAAAGGGACTGCTGTAAAACTGACTGTGTCCCAAAGCCAGGATGGAAGCTCCATACAATCCTTGGGTTCAGATTCCAATAAAGGATTACAGGTTACCTTGGTGCATTAATCAGAATCCACTCACATTTCTGACAATGGGACTTGGGCCAACTGAATGAAAAGTCATTACTTTAGTTAATACTAGCAACTGTTGTGAATAAATGTGCCATAAGAACAGTAGAGTGTGGATCCTGGGAACACTGATGATAAAGGGCACAATAAAACAAGCGATTGCTTCAGATGCCCACTTTGTAAGTTTGATCACACTAGCAAAAAGTTTTACTAACAAGCTCTTCAAGCTCTGAGGGTCATTCCCCAGAGAAACGGAAGACTGCTTTGTTGATAAAAGTATTTTATTCACTGTCACTTCCACAGGAACCCCTGGAAGAATATATTTTAAAGTGACATTAATGATTCCTCTAGATTTTCCCTTTGAGAGGGCAGATTTGACAAAAAAACAAAACAAAACAAAACAAAAAAAAAACCAAAAAAAAGGACACTAATCTATTTTAAGAGGTGTAATATACTTGACAACTCATATTTATGCTTACAATGAGCAACATTTCAAAGACCAAGGTTTGACATTGGTCGTGACCCTGGCCAAGTCTAACAGCTGAGAAGGATTTCATTAAGGATGCAAAGCCCACACACAGTTTTATCCCACTGCAGAGAGCTAAGACATCACCAACACTGATCATACAAGGGCGCCTTCTAAGGTCTAACAGCTTCTCTGTAATGTAATGAACCTTCATTTCCTACACCGAGGGAAGAGACCCAATGTTCTTGTGCTTTCTTCCTTGAGCTTCTTCATATGGTACCACTCTGTACTTTCTAGTGACCATGATCATTACAAAAGCCATCTATTAGACAAAATCAAGCACACATACTGAAATGCAAAGACACCAGCCATCTATGAACACTTAGGAGTTTTCTACCTTAGCTGCCTGTGTCTACATGCCCTGGAATTTGAGAAATAGCTAATGCCACCTCCATCTTGGCTAGTTGTGGTGCTGTGCGGTTAAAGGCTTGGCTAATGGGGAAGCTTAGGGGGAAGGGTCTACTTGAGTCTGTGACTTTGAGATCAACCTGGGCAGCACCATGAACACTTACCCCCATCCCAAATACACACCACCAACAAAAAGGGGGACTTTTTCAACTAGTATATTTTTAAGCCTCAAATGAGAAGACATGCTAAAGTGATAAGGAAATGTAGTTTATGGAATGACTAAAAACAAGAGCTTGCGAGACTCAGAATATTGACTTAAATAAGTACACTTTCTCTATTTTATTTTCAAATACTTGACAGAGCTGTTGAACTCATAGCATCTAAGCGACAGTGGTCTATAAAAGGCATTGCTTTAGAGTCACTGCTAGCTTCCTCCCCTGACCAAAGCCTTTGTTTCTTAGGTAACATTCTGTAAGATCGTGCTGAAGCTCAGAGTACTAGGATGCCAAAAAACAACACACGGACACAAACCTCATTTGTCAAGAAATAGGCCATGTTGTTCCTGCCTGATTAGAGACTGGTGATTTTTTTTTTTTTTTTTTTAACTTTATGGCAATTTAATATTATCCTGCCAACAGAACACAATCTACACTTGATTTTACAGACTGTGATATTCTATTCTTGGTTACCTACTTATGACCCTCCAGAAGAAGGACAGTAGAAAACAGCACATCACTGTCCCTGACAATGCCTAAAATGAAGGTGCCTTACTAACAACCAGTCATGGAGCTCAGCAAAAACTCCGCTCAAGTGACTGCTAGGGTGGGAACTAAGGGTGAGAGTTGGAGAAGACGAGAAGGAAGGAGGAAAGGAAGAGAAGGTGGTGGCTTAAGAAGTGAGAATGTCTTTAGTTGCACATACTGACTTAAGAGCAGTCCCTGAGTTTGCCCCCCCCCCCCCCCCCCCCCCCCCGGCACTGAGACACCTGTTTGATGGTGGGTCAGTACAGAGCAAACTTCTTTCCTTTTGTGGCTGTGTCTTGCTGCAATGCTTGTTACTTGGAAGGGTGCTGAGATGATGGAGGCATCAAATGACCAACTTTAACACTTGATGCTGTTAGCTGTATGTTATATTATGTGTGCATGTATGTTAGCTGTACATTATAAAGTCTCATGTAAAGGAAGGCAAACAGTAACAATGCCCTTTTAAACTGATGATCAGCATCTCCAATTGCTAGCACTCTTACTGCCCCAGAGGGTAATGACCTTGTTGCAAGGATCGTGCAGCACATTTCATGAAATACTATCCTTCTTCAGTCAGTTGAAGTCACCAACTATAGGAAACTGTCTCTAAAAACACCAGTAGATGGAAAACTTATAGATTCACAAGAGAAAACACTGGGAAATGAAAGCCAAAATGGAAGACAGACTGCTAACTGAAAGACACAGCTACTTAGATAAACAGAAGCTTGGTACTATACTTTGGTTTTGCGTTTTTGTATTCTTCAGTGTCCGTGTCCTCGTCCTCTGAGTACCAATTATCTCCTCTTCCTCCAGCCAAAAGGCCCCTGGCCGCCAACAGTCCTGCAGCGTTCCCATAGCCAGTGTATTTCAGCAGGCTATCCACTGCAAAAACACAACAGGGTTTTAGACAGGGGTCATATGGTACTTACCATCACCACCCACTTTGCAGCACAGAGAGGTTGGGGCTCTTTGAGAGGCCTTTAAACATAGAGTGCTCAGGCTGAACTACCTACAAACACTCCCACTTGCTATGAAGCCCAAGACCCTGGAGTTAGAGAGCAGGGATTCTGAGATTACTCTCTGTCCCTGTTGGTAAAAGTCATGCATCAATGTTCTGATCTCTAATCTTATTAAAAACAAAACAAACTAAAGATAATGAAGGTCAGACTGAGGTTCTGTATGTGTGGCATGAACAATCTTAAAGTTTGAGATACAAAGGAAAATATGTAAGAGATATTAACACCTAAGGGTATTAGCAAACTGAAAGGCTAACACAACACTTAGTCGGGCAGGGCAGGGCAGGGCAGGCAGGGGAGATGGCATAATGAAAAAAAGTGCTTGGGACACAGGCGTGAGGACCAGAGTCCAGATCCCCACAATTCATGTAAAAGCTGGGCAGGTACTTGCAAGACAGAGACATATTTCCTACATACTAGTAAGTTCCAGGTTCAACTGAGAGGCTGCTTCAATAAATAAAGCAGACAGCAATTGAAGAAGACACCCAACATCAAATATGGACCTACATGTACACACATGTGCACCTTCACATACACATAAAAAGCCAGCAGCAACATATAAACACAGAAAGGCCACTGAGTCAGCCTGGCTGGATTCCATTCTCAGTTTTCCGACCTGCAGAGCTGCAGTAAGAGCTGCCTGCCTCACACATAGTGCCTCAAGCATCTCAGAGAAGCATGTGGCAGAAGCTCTCCTCCTAACTTCAGTGACACTGTGTACATCGATTGTTAGGTCTCTCTCTCTCTCAAACACACACACGTCAGGTAGACATACCCTAGAAGCCTGCACTGCAGAGGTACATGTGTATGAGTGTATAAGTGTGTGTGTGTGTGTGGTTTACAAGCATTTATGATAATGCTTCCTACAAAGTGTCATAAACAAAAAAAAAAAAAAAAACTCTTGTGCCAGGCATGGGAAACCTCCCCTTAAGGGACCCCCAAAACAATATAGGCCATTGCTCCTGGTTGCTTCCCAGAACTTGAAGGTAACTGAGGACACTACACACTTCAGACACAGGACTTGGAGGAATCAGGCTGAAATTGCTGTGGAAGGCTCCTCTCTAAGGACTGACTCTCATCTTATCTGACTGATACACAAGCTGCCAAGGGAGGAGAGCTAGCAATAGTCCCACACCACCAATGACTGACTTGGCAGGATATTCCCAGTGATCCAAGAGTGGCCCCACTTGAGCCTATCCAAAAGCTGTCTAATTGGACCAAAGGCCCACTCCTTAGGAGGGAATTCAAGCTTGGTTCTGTAATCCTGCTAACAATCCTTGCCTGGAGAGCTCACGGCTCCTACAGGAGAACAAACTACTGCCATTTCCCTGACATGGCAGAAGGTGGGGTGGAGAGACTGCTAAGACTGCTGACAGCCAGAGGTCCAGCGTGTTTATCTGCTACTACACAGTGTCTTGTAGACACAACAGGGACACTGTACCCATGAGATCTAAACAACAGCATCTCCTACATAAGACCTGGAGAGTGACACCATTAGTCAACATGATAACATGGATAGGGGAAATTTCCTAAGACCCCACCCTTAGATGAAGATTTACAGGAAATCAGTGGCAGCTGAGACAGGAGGTATCAGTTTTCTTCAGGGATGAGCCTCTGATAGGTTACCCAATCCCAAATTGTCAGCCCTAAACACATGCACATAACAGCAAACCTAAATAGACTCAGCAGGTTTGTGTGTGTGTGTGTTGCAAGCATGCATGTGTGGGTGCACATTTGTGCATGTGTAACTATATAATATTAGAAGAAGTCATGAATTTGAGAGGGAGTGAGGGGCATGGGAGGAGTTGGAATGGGGTGGGGGTGCAAATAATGCAAATATAGTATTCACATATAAATTTAAAAAATAAAAATTATTTTGAGGACCTTAAAAAGGGCTAAGACAGAGAAACAGATAAGAGAAAGAGATACTTCTTGTCAGTATGAAATTATAAAGAAGATGGATAACATAAATTTGTTAAATTTTGAAATACTTCAACTGGAGAGCACTCCTTTGATAGAAAAAATAGCTACTCTGGGGTGTTTTTTGAATGAATCCCTCCTTCCAAGGAAACATGGGTTAAATGAGATTTATACTATGTAGTCCACCCTGGCCTGGGGCTTGCCTTCCTCCTTCCTAGGTCCTAAAGCACTGACATCAGAAGCAGGCGCTACCGCACTCAGCTTCAACCTTATCTTTAAATTTGCAGGCAAATGGACAGAACTATAAAAAAAAAAAAAAAAAAAATCCTGAGTGAGGTTACCCACATCCAGAAAGACAAATATAGTATGTACTCACTCATAAGTGAGTATCAGACATAAAGCAAAGTATAACCAGCCTACAATCCACAACCCCAGTGAAGCTAGATCCCTCATCCAGAAACAGATGGAAGCAGATGCAGAGATCTATAACTAACCATTGGGCTTACCTGAGGGAGGAGCAATAATATGAACAAAGGAGTCAAGGCCATGATGGGGAAACCCACAGAATCAGCTGACCTGAGCCAGTGAGAGATCACTGACTCCACAATGTCAACTGAGGAACCGGCCAGGACCGAACCAGGATCCCTGAATATAGGTGACAAATAAGGATGTTTTGTGGTTTCAGGGAAGTGACATTTACTAAAATTCTCAAGGCCTAAGTTGAACAATGTATGAATAAATGGTTTAAATGAATATACTAAGAATGACACAAAAGGGGCTGGAGAGATGGCTTAGTGGTTAAGAGCACTGGTTACTCTTGCAGAGGACACAAATTCAATTCCAAGCATCCAGATGGCAGTCTGCAACTGCCTGTAACTCCAGTTCTAAGGGATCCATTGCCCTCTCCTGACCTCCATATGTACCAATCAAGACAGTGGCACACAGACATTCACACAGGCAAAATACTCATAGAAATAAAATAAAATAATGCTTTTTTAAAATAAAAAGAATGACACAAATTGGGTTAAGATTAAAATATCCAAAATCTCAAAGGCTACAGAAGGCCAGAAGAGGTTAAAGAGAAGTGAACACAACACTCGTAACTGCTGTATTTCTATGCAGAAATCGTCTGGATGCCAGTTAATAACAATGGCCCTGCCATTTTAATAAAAGACAATGTTTATTGCTCTCTCTCTCTCTCTCTCTTCCTTTTTTTGGTTTTTCAAGGAAGGATTTCTCTGTATTGCTTTGGAGCCTGTCCTAGAACTCACTCTGTAGATCAGGCTGTTCTTGAACTCACAGAGATCTGCCTGCCTCTGCCTCCCAAGTGCTGGGATTAAAGGTGTGCACCACCAACGCCCAGCTGTTTACTGTTCTTTTACTGGAACAAGGTGAGAAATAGAGTTACAGAGATGATTTAAGACAAAATTAATAAAGCTAAATGAAATCTTATTAAGATTTTAAACAACAGCCTCTCCTGCTTTTTCTAAAGGCTCAAATCCCAACCATGCAAAGGAAAGGAGACAAATGGAATACAGAATCCTAGCAGAGAGGAGGACTGGAGGAAGAGCCTTTGTGTACCTTTCCCTGTAGTGCTAAAGAGGACCAGAGAATTCCTGTTTGATGCTGTGAAAGGAAAAGAGGAACTCGGCTTGCTAAGGAAGGAAGGGTTTTCTGGTGCTGCTGCAAAGACAGGCACACAAGGATACTTGTTCTTTGGCACAGTAGCTGTCTTTTCTACTCCATGAAGACAATGCTGATATAACCAAACCCCACAACTGATGTTTGGAGGATGCTAGAGGAATACAGCCCCACAGTGGGTGGCAGGAGACCTTTTCTGGCAGGTACAGTGTTGGAAGCCTATCCAGATGTGAGTTCTATCATTTTACCACAAAGCAGAGCTTCCACCCCTTTACTGAGAGGAAAGCAAACCCAGAGGCCACTGTCCCTTCTCGGGGAAAGTTTCCATCCAGTCACACTCCATGGCTTCAAGAAATGCATGCCCGCAGCAACTGTAACTGGCACCCCTCCAGTTCTCTATCTTCCCTTTCTATTTCTACCACTGCCCAAGACACAGACATGCCATTCAACATAAACACGACTGTGTTACTTTCCTGCAGGTGGCCTCTTCTGCTTTCTCTAAAGGCTCAAACCCCAACCACAGGTTGTGCAGCTTCTGTGTTCTTTTCTACAGCTGTCTTCTATTCTGTACACTCCTCAGATCCTGAAATATTTTTCTGTGACTACTTCCCATTCTTCCGACTCTTATACAAAGTTGTTCCTCTAGCCTGCCACTGTAGCAAGCCAATCTCTTTAGGAAGTTATTCCTCACTGTGGGGATATATACAAGATAACATACCCGCTAGAGGGAACTCACAGGGAGCACCAATGTCTGCTCTTTTATTTAACATTCATTTATGGGACAATTACTATCTATAAGATGTAACAATGTTGAAAATGCAAGCTCTAGGGAGTTAAAGTATAACAGATGGAAAAAGCTCAAAAAGAAGACAAGTAAAAATGGCACAATGGAGAATGATTAACTTTGCCTGGATGGCCAGAGAATTCTTCAGAGATGATGTCTTCAAAGACAAAGCTTAGCATGCCGACAATGAGGGAAAGGACATTCCAGGCAACACTAAAGCATCAGCATGTATAAATAGGAAGGGTAGCACATTAGCAGAAGGAAAACATTACAGAGGCGGGGAAGGGGAAAGAAAAATTTGGGTTTCATCAAGCAAATGCAGAGACATCACTAAAACTTTACATGGAGGCAATGACAAGCTTGTGTTGTCATTTATAACAAACCCTCTGATGTAACACACCTGGAAGACAGACAGACAGATAAATAAACAAACAAATCCAATTAGAAGAAACAGGAGAGCTGAGTATTGTAATATTTTAAGGAACTGATTTTAAAGGCATTTAACAAGAAGTGGTGAGGAC